AGTGAGCACGGAAAGGCCGCGGAGCCCTGCGCGGCAGGGAGGATGGAAAGATGCAGGGATGAGGAGGATGCCCTACCGACTGCGTCTCCTGAAGATCCTGGGGGGCCGAGGAGCCCCCGGGAACAGCACCCCGGCCCCCGGCAACAACAAGGCAGGAGAAATGTAGATGGAGTTCGTTTTAGAGCAATGTATTGTAGGTTATGAACAAGTCAGCAAAAACTTGAGGGACCCCGGCCCCTCTCCACACTCACATCTTTTTTTTTTTTTTTCAGCAAATAGCACTCCATGACGCCATCATACAGTATTTTTAGCCGCCTTATGAATGCCCGAAAGGCTGCAGCGTGGCAAAGGAAAACATCCACTGACACAATGCAGACTGTGTAGTTAACACTTCAGAACACAATACTGTCTTATAAGCAAAGTTTAATAAGGGATTGAAACACTTCTTTCTAGGCACATACATGGAAATAAGTGCATCTCGTACCTGCAAGTTTCTTGGCAATCTGTGGGTTATTATTATTATTCATAAATATGAAAATTAATTGAAAAATACCTATGAAAAAGTTTATCTGTTTTCATCAGTGGGATAACGCTGTAATGAATATATTTACATCTCATTGGAAGAAATCGAGACCTGTTTTTCTACTCCGATATCCCCATGTGTTTTGCTTCTTTTGAGGGGGGGGGGATGTTTCTTGCTTGTTTTTGTTTTTGTTATTATTTTGGGGTTTGGATTTTTTTCTTCTGTGTTTTTGTTTTTGGGTTTTTTTTTAATTTTTGTTTGTGTTTTTAACTGCTAATCCAACTGTGTCCCAAGTCACCCATCCCACCAAAAGGCAATGTTGAAGAGCTGCTTTCAGCACCTCCCCGGTCTAAGCATGCCCGCTCACTCCCCGTTGAGAGCTCGGAGGGGCTGCTGGATCCCCTCTGCCCGTGGAAGGGCCAGAAACAAAGCTCTTGCCCATGCCACGTCCGTGTGAGTGGGAAAAGGGAGGATGTCTGTTTGTCTAATTCCTGTTCTTGTGTGCTCAGGTCTGGAATCATCCGAGTCCCCCCACTGCCAGCATCTATGAATACAGGCCACTTCTCCATCCTGAATGGGATGATCCCCCCATAGAGGATCTGCTCACAATGTTGATTATCCAGCTATAAGTGCCTACTGTATGGAGCTGCTATAGCCTCGGATCTGCTGCGCCTAGAATATTAAAAACCCCAAGCGAGTTGGATTGAAGGATCTTGTTAATGCAAAAAAAAAAAAAAAAAAAAAAAAAAAAGAGACAGGGAGAGAAAGAAAAAGCAAAAAAGGAGGGGGGGAGAGAGAGGAAGAGAGAGAGAGAAGGAGAGTATGTAGGACAGAAAATTAAAATGAAAAACTTGCCCATGTTTCCACAAACTGAAAAATCTGCCTCATCCAGGCTTGTTTGGAGGGTACGGGAGGTGTCTGTGTGAGGGGGGACAATGCTATTTTTAAAGATCCAGCTTTATTAATACGTTAAGAAAGAGCTCCCTTGGTAGTATGTGTTCTCACAGCTCTGTCTCAGACCCTATAAAACATTAATGCACTGAAAGCTGTTACAGAGATCTGCACCACCAGCTAGAAGCCTTTACGTTCAAAGGACTTCCATTACAAAAATGATTTTTAATTTTCTTTGAAGAAAAGGACAAGCTGAAATAAAGAGAGGCTTTTGGCACAGAGCTCGGGCCCCTGTGATAGGTGGCCATGGTGTGGGGGGTCACAGCCTGTGTTTTTTGCTTGACCATGGCACATAAGCACATATGAAATGCACTGGCTCACCACCCAATGAGCAAGCATCTAGTTGGATTTCTATATTAATGGACTGGGAATATCGTCCACACATAGTGACTAGAGTTAGGAGAAATAGCAAGAGAGATGTTTTGGCTGACAGCAAGCACAAGGTGTGCACACCGGAGCACACAGAGGGGTCTGTGAGTCCTTGGGGTGGAAAAGAAGAGAAAAGAAGCAAAAAACCCCAACCCCACCCCGAGCTCCCAGAAGCAGAAAGCCACCATATCTGGAACAAACAAGACCCATGGCTACAGTATGCCTCCTGCTGCACGGGTAGAGGTGGTGGCACATGGTGACTGCAGTCCTTGCCCATGGTTTCTGAGAGCAAAAAACAGGTGTGAACTCAGCAGAAAATCCAGCTGATGGGAAAAGATATTTCAAAAAAAGGGTAGGCCATCAGCCTTGGTAGGGAGTCTGCGGTGTAGTCTCAGCGAGGCAAGGTCACCTAAGGCATCACACTGCACCTCCCACTCCCTCTTCCTAGACCTTGACAGCTCAGCCCTAAGCTTAAGCCCAGCCAAGCCCGTTTTGGAGCATCATGTAGTTTACACAACTTGGCTAGATCTCACAAGTATTTTTTAAGTTCTCTTTTTTAGCACCACTAGAGAGTTAAAAATCCAGGTGAGATCTTTTGTTGTTATTGTTTGGTTTGTGGTTTGGTTTTTTTTTTTTTTTTGTGAATTGTTGGCATGTTTCAAACAACAAGACTCATGGTTTGTGGGGTGATAAGTAGGGGGGAGTTTGCTAAATTCTTTTATTTTTTTGTTTAAATTCTCACTTCAATTTTAATTCTTGAAGAACAATTTTGACAACATATATCGCACTCGTTATAAGAAGCAAAGGGTTATATCAAAAAATTATTAGTATAGAATCACAGGAAACCTGGTTTGGAACCAGAAAAAAATACAAAACAGATATAGATACATAGACACAGGACAATTTTTTTATAATTATTTGGAAAATGTTATTTTCCCCTAATTCTCCTTTCTTTTTTTTCTTTATGCGCATATGATGTTTTAACTTTTACCAAAAATGAAAATAAAGACTAATATATTACAAAATGAGTAACAATGTTCGTGGTAAGTGTTTGCGCGTAGAATTTTTTTCTTTGTTTACTTCTTTTGAGTTGTTTTTTTTTTTCATTCTACACAAGGTTCAGTTCAGTTTCAATGATTTTTTGTTTTGTTGGTTTACTGTACAGCATATATCAGCAACAGTCCACAATAAATCCTGGAAGATCCAGTATCCCCTTCAGGTTTGATTAATATCCCCTCAATACTCATTTTTTTTTTAATTTTTCTTTTTTTTTTTTTTTGTCTCCTTTATTAATATTATTTATTTCTTTTTTCCTCCTCTCAAAAAAAAAAAAAATAGGCCAAATGAAAAAAAAAAAAAAGAAAAAGCGAAACACCACAACCTCCACGGACGAGAGGTCCGTTCTTCTCCCCTACACGGCCACATCTCTGCTCTCACTTGGCCCTTTCTTTTGTTCAGTGTCCACCTCCCGGGCCCCCCCCCGCACCCCGACTGCCCCTCGGTGCGAGCGCTCCCGTCTCCGCCGCTCCGCCGCCTCTCTGCCGGGGATGCGGAATGGGCTCTAGGAGCACTGGATGGACATGTAAGGCCAGTTGAAGCTGCTCCCAGACAGTAGCATATCCCTGATGAGGGTTTCGATGGGGGTTTTACCTACCAAGCGGACGAAGAAGAGCTGCTCGATGACGGAGGAGGAGACGGTGCGCAGGGAGGGCAGCCGCAGCAGCAGCTTCCCGAAGCGGCTGGGCTGGTTGGGGTACTGGCTCCGCACGTACTCCTCTAGCGCGCACTGTGACTTCTCCTGAAGGCTCTCGATATGCGCAGCATCCG